AAGTAAGTCTCTGGTAAATTCCCTCTTTCCACAATTGAGGGATAGGAGGAAAGTAGTTACTAAACAGAGGGCATTGGAGAGATGAGTATAGAAGATCAAAGGCATAAATATGACTTGAACAGTTAAAACTTTTCAGTCAATCGCCGCTCTGATGCATGCTGGACCTGATTTGGTTTTCAACATTTTCTGTTATTTTTGTTTGTTCATAGTAGGGTGTATCTCAAAGGTGTTATGTCCTTGGAGGTCACCCTCTTGAAGTTGTGTTATATGTTTCTATGTAACCCTCTTGAAGTTGTGTTATATGTTTCAGTATATGAAACGTATAGGATTGATGAACCTACAGAGACAGCAAGTAGAATAAGGGTTTCAGGTGAGAGTACAGTAGTAGTGGGGGAGGGGGCAGATAAAAGGGAGACAATGCCAAGGAGTCCAGGAAGAAAAGGATTGTTTGGAAACTCATGGTAGCAAGTGTACAATTCTGTGTGATATAATTGAACTATGGAATGATATATGTATTCACTCCCCATTAATAATAAATTATTTTTTAAGTTCACATTGCTAAACATAGATGGATTAAAGGAAGAGGGTGAAAGGGGATATATGATAAAAACAAGGGGAGGGTTTCCCCAAGGCTCATGGAAAAGTGGAATTAAAAGATCACAGAATTTTCCCATGAACTCTCTGAAGTCCCCTCATGCATTCAAAACAAAATGCCATTGCACAGAGCAAATTACTGCAAATCTCAAGAAATGGCTATGAAAGAATTGTTCTCGATTCCTTTTTTTCCCCTAAGAGAGATGCTTGTATGTTGCAGTGAGATAACAAGTGATTGCCTCATCTTCTTTGGCAGTTTGTCATGTGTTTTATTTATTCAGGTACATAGGAAATAATTATACGCAAGTAAAGCTATCAGAACGTCCTTAGATTTCAGTTTTCATGCCCCCCCTCCCAATGCAAACTCACTACCATTAAGTTGATTCCAACTCAAAGTGACTCTATAGGACAGGGTAGGACTGGCCCTGTGGGTTTCTGAAACTGTAACTCGTAATTTACAAGAGTAGAAAGCCTTATGTTTCTCTCAAAGAGCAGCCCCACTTGTAACCACTATGCCCCCAGGCTAATTCGTCATTGTTTAGGTCAATGATGACCCTTTACACATTATCAAACTAGTTGCAAAATGAATTAATCCTGCTTACCTCCTTGTTTCCTAAGATCACAGCAGCACTGGAATAACTGAAGGCTGAACAATGAAGCTTCAACAGAGCCCTTTCCTCCTCCAAGTTCTCCTCCCGTTTGGCCTCAGAGTCTACAAGATGGCCCAGCGTGTGGCAGGGACCACAGGAAGATGGGAAACTGGCAGAGCGGAGGACGGCGTTTGACCCCATCATAACCATCCCACTTCTGGTGCGGCTCTTCTCTGTGGCGCCACCCCCGGCCCCTAGCGAAGTAAGCATTCTTACAGCTCTCAGCAGCTCCCTGGTCCCACCAGAATCCCCAAACCCAAAGATCAACTGCTACCAAGTCTATTGCCATGCACGGTGACACTATGGGGCCAGGTAGAATTGCTCTGCTGCCGTTGGCTGTCCATCTTTACAGAAGCCAATGACCACAGCTTTCAGCGTCAGAGCAGCTGGTAGGTTCCAACTGCCGACCTTTGGGTTAGCAGCCCAATAAACAGTTAACCCCTGGCACCACCAGCACTCCTTCCCACAGGAGGCTGGAAGAGAGCATCCTCTTAGCGTCACACTGAGATCACTCTACATCGAAACTGCCTGAGAGCAGTGTGGGAACTGTGGCAGCGGGAGAGTCTGAGGAGGGGTGATGATAAATCAAAGGAGCGCACACAATCCATCTCAGGCCTGCAATCCAGAGCAGAGGATGAATGCTGGAGATGGGCATACGCAAGTGTGTGCAACCGGCCGTAGAAGCAGACAAACCTGACACTGGCTTCAGCATGGAAGAAACCCAACAAAGGGCCCTGACTCTTACTGACTCGGGAAGAAACCACCAAGAGGATCAGAAGGGAGTAAGGAACCCGAAGGCATGAGACAATATAGCCAGAAGTCAAAACTGGTAGCTCTCTTGTTTCAGACGTCTGATTCTTGTCACTTCAGTCATTTCTAAAAGGTGTAGCTTGGTAAAGTAGTCGGTGAGTGGAAAAAGATGGAGGGATGCACTGGCTGTGACCATAAGCTCAACAGGACGCACATCCAATGTTCGATTGGGTGGATGGCGAAGGTTCCGCTTCATTGTACACAGGGCCACTATGGGTGAGAACTAACTCCGGGGGACCTAAAAACAACAAGGGCCAAAGAAGAGCTATTGAAGTGACAAGGCAAGGTTATTTGCCTGGGTAGGATTTCACTGGTAAAATCTTTTTTTTTTTTTGGCTCAAACTCTTCTCTGACTCATGGTGCAGATTCTCTCATGGTTTTACATGCGAAGCCTCCGTGAATGCACTTAGAGTTCTGCATACTGAATGAGCTCCGAATAGTTGGTAGACTCCTACTCTACAATTAAGTGTGCTTTAAAAAGGAATACACAGCCTCATGCGGATAACTTGTTCCTTGACGTCATTATCATTGGTTGTCATCGGCAGTTAGTCACTTTGAGTAGGTCTTAATATTCACAGCTTTTGAAGTATGACATGTCTCTAGATTGGAAACGGAAAAGAGAATGGAGCTCAGATTATTGGCCTTTGTCGACCAAGACGTCAAGTGAGTAGAGACGGAAGGCAATACAATTTCGCTTTCGCTTTTTTTCCAGGCTAATGACAGCTCCGGATAGCGCCACAATCGTGCTACAGTACACAGCCAGATTAAGCACTGGGATTGCAATTTTGAATTTTAAAAACGTGGATGCATAAACAGCTCTGGTGGCACTGTAGGTTACATTTTGGGCTGGTAACTGCAGGGTCTGTTGTTCAAACCTACCAATCACTCCACCAGAGAAAGATGAGGTTGTCCGTTCCTGTAAAGATGAATAATCTTGGAAACCCTATGTAAGGACTCTATGAGCCAGAATAGATCGGTGGTAATGGGTTTGATTTGGGCTACTCTTAGATGCTGTCATAGGAGCAGCATCATTGGAACAAACCAACTATTGGAAAATATTAAGAAACAGGTGAGGGAATGTGAACAAGGTCATCAGTTCGAAACCACCAGCTGTTCTGTGGAAGAAATATGGGGCTTCCCACTCTCATAAAGAATATCAGTCTCAAAAACTCACAGGGGGCAGTTCTACCTCATCCTATAGGGTGGCTATGAGTCAGCATCGACTCCATAGCAGTGAACTTTTTTTTCCTTTTAGTTTGGGGATTAAATGAGGTAAGTAAATTGTGAGGAAAGCGTTAATACCATGGGTCAGGTTGTTAAGCCCTAGCGTGTCTACAAGAGAAATTAAATTGTGATGGATCTTTGGCCAACCTCTGGGAATGTGGTCCTCAGAATGTTCTCTATGGAATGGATGATTATGTTATGTATCCCCGAACCATGCCATGTCAACTGCTCATGACTTGGTGCAAACATCAAGATGGATAAAGTGCACCTAGTTTCATTGTTGGTTTCCTGGGTTTCCGCTACCATGGCTCGCCATGGAGCAATCATGATGTGCCTATGGGAGCAGCTCTCAATAAAAACCTCAGGTCCAGGGACTTAAATGTGCTTTCATAAACAGTGACATTTCAGCAAGCCTGAGCGTGGGCTTGGAACCCACAAGACATAAAAGGACTAATAAGGTGGTTTACAAATAGAACCTACCAATACATGCCAGCTACTGGCATTTGAATGATGCCTACAGCATGCTATCAGAGATCAACTGCACGCTACTGGAATATAGACTTAGCATTTTGGCCTGCTTTTCTCATCCATGTCCTTGGAAGGTGGTAAGATTGACATCTTCTTGGTGGAGAAGTTCAAGAATATTCCTCCAAGATTCTGCTCTTGCCTGCCCACCCCCCACCCCCCGCCCCCATGCTGGTGCAGAAAAAGGAGGCCCCCAACCGGAACCTTTGGAGAATATCCACGAGAGCTCTTTTACCATACCAAAGTGCAATGAAAAGTCTTGTTGCGTGTTGAGAGGTGTGAAGGGACACTTAGACGGACATTATGGAGCTTCAGGTTGTGCATGCCGCCAGCTAGACCAACACCCTGACCCTCCCCTTGGGCGGCAGCCCCAGGAGGCAGTGGTGTTAAGAATAGTTTCCTCAATTTACCCAGAGTCAAACACACACACAGCACTGGACACTCAGAAGAAGAGACAGTCTTACATAGTGAGGACCACATGTACACATTTGCGATTCCTTTTTGTGGTTCGTGGGTATGCATAGGGCTACCGATTCCACTCAAGAGACCAGATCTATGGAAGGTACGTAAAAAGAGCCTTATGTTTCTAAAATAATCAGACCAATAACTATGTGCTATGCCATGCATTTATTTTTTCCACAGAGATAGCCTCCAAGATAGGGCTAATCTCAAAAGTATCTGAATTTCCCGTCTAGCAGCAGAATTTTCCATCAGTGTCATAGATCGGGAGCTTAAAAGATATGTTGGTAAATGTTACCATCTTCACAGTTGGAGTTTCTTTTTACTGAGCTCTTGATTTTTTTTTAATGGCCAGAGAGCGAACTTCATTGCAGTTTAGGTTACAAATAAGAACTATCTCTTCATTAGGGTCATCCATATGGCCACCATTCTTGTCATGAAATAATGCATTGTCCGTGGACACATATTTTAATGCGGATGGATGTACTGAGGTTTGAGTAATTTTCTTCCTTTCATAAAATTCAGTGAACACAGGCTCAGAAGCGCTGCAAACAAGGCATCTTTCCTTGTAAATGCAAGGCTTGAGAGTTCGAGGCTGAGTAAACCTGTTAATATTGTGTGTACTACTTGAACGCTTTAGATTCTGGTGGTGCCTGCGAGGCTTTGACAGTTGGAGTATACTGGGTGCCTCACGTGGCCAGACTTGATTTTCTGGCAGTGGTTGATAAGGAGCCTTGCCTATCTTATCTGAAAAGGTTAAACAGAGTCTATTAACTTGTTTATGGGTATGAGTTACTTTATATGTCTTCTCTAAGCAAGATGTTCTAGATAACTTTTCTAAGTCTGTTGACCGGACTACATTTTTTATAGTAGGTGGCCTTAAGGACTTTTTTTTTGGTGGTCTGGATGACTTTTCCAGACGTGACAACCTGTGTAGCTTCCCTGCACTAGATGGTATGGAAGACTTCACTGGACTTGACCTGAGGAACATCTCAGTACTGGATGGTGTGGATGACCTTGGTGGACTCGCTGGCTCGGGTAAATTGTCTGTGTAGAATAGCATGGGTTGCTTTTTGGGACTGCCTGGACTGGGTGTCTTTAATTCACGGGGTAATAATCTGGATGCATTGGGTTCTCTTCCTTGGCTCCTGGAAATACAGAAAAGATATGCTAATTGAAACCCAGAGAATAATATTGCTGTCACCAGAAAATGTAGGAAACTGTGTCAGTTTATAACTTGGGTGTCTTTGGGGCTCTCTTAAGAACACTGAACACAGGAGGAATTGGAGTGTGGCAGAAGAAATTACTCAAGTTACAGATATGTTAACATGGTGCATACAAACTTTTTCCTTTAAGAGTAGTTTACTGTTTCAGCCACATTAGAGAACCCCATGAGCATACATAAAATGGCACCAGCTTATCTAACACCTGCTGCTTCCAGAGAGTGAGCAAGAGCATTCCTCTTATTGCAGTCATGAAAATGGCAGTAGCAGTGCCACATTGTGATAGCTTGTCTCCAGAAAAAGAAATAAGCTCTTTTGAACAAAGTCTTTGTTTTCTGCTCCTATTTTACACCATCAAGTTTATCTATCTCCTCACATTGATTTTCATCATGTTCCCTTAGAGCACTGGGATGACATTTTAAGCAGCAGTCTCTGGGATGGGAAAGCTTAGGGAACCAGTACATCAGGCCCAGCCTGATCCTCCTTTAGTGACGGAGATCAGGGGTGCAAGAAGAATGAACGCTTTTTTAAAAATTCAATCTTCAAATGATAGGGTTTCCAACAATGGCTTCTTGCCTTTGGGATGCAGAGAGCAGTCCCTCCTCTCCTGCTCCGTAGTCCCATACTCTTTCCCTCTTTGCCCTGACTCACGTTAGAATGAAACTCATCACTTTATAATGCCATTTTACAATTTGTTAATAAATTCTAAAGGATGGCTTTATCATGAAATCAACTCAGGGATCAGCTGAACCCTGACTGGGAGGCAGCTTTGGAAAACATTGATAGTGTACTTGAGAATATTTAAGTGAAAGTATTCTTTAAGAGCCTAACATTAAATAACTACCAACCACAGCAAGGAACCCACCACTACATTCCTACACATAGACTCTATAGTCTTTCATTTAAAGGGTGAAACTTACATGTTTCTTCTGGGGGGCTCGTCGTTCATGCAGTTATAATGGACGAAGCAACACAAAATGAAGAGAAAGGCCATAATCATAAGACCAACGATAATAACTAGACGGTCCCTAAAGGTTTTAATTGTTGCTTCTATCATTTCAATACGCTTCACTCCTGTCAAAGAGAAGATGTCTAAGTTTTCTACCATTTTGAGAATGATTTGCTCACTCACTGCTATTGAGTCAATTCGGACGCATAGCAACCTTATTGGATGGAGTAGAACTGTCCCTGTGAGTTTGTGAGACTATAATTCTTTAAAAAAATTTTCTATTTAAATAGAAAATTCTCTTGAAATTTGGATTAACATTTAATAGCAATAACCTTTCCATCTTTTCAGGTTTTTTGGAAATGTTTGTTTTAAAGATTTAACGTACTTCAAAAGCACTCATGTAAACCAATCTGCTATGAATATAGAATTTATAATGAGTTTCTTAAATAAATCATTTTAATGTCTACTTTCTTGGGATGACAGAAACATTACTAAAGTAATATTTTCAGAATTAATGGTTATTAAACATATCTTGAGTTTTGTTACTCTGCTAGGGTAAGATAGAAGCATGATCCTTTACCATTATTTTCACTTCTTATGAGCCATCTTATAGTAAAAGTAAAAATCTATTTGGTAACAAGTGTTCTTATGCTGAAAGTTAATTTTTAATGCCCTGAACTGGTTCAGGGTTTTCCTTTTCCTTTCTTTCTTTGCTTTCTTCATTGGAGGTTAAGGTTCTCCAAACTTATTTTTAGGACAAGCATAACTTAAAAGACCATTTCCCCCACAATCACAACACTTATATTTACCGAAGTAGTGGCCCTTCGGATGAACTCCGCTGCTCTTCCATTGTCAATAAGAACACTTGATTTTATCACTCTACCATATAACTGTTTGTAGTTTATTACTCTGGCACAGTTTTGTGCAGATTCTTTATCCAAATAAAATAAGTGCAACCCCTTTACTCATCCCGGTTTTCTTTTCCTTCACGATATCCTTCATTATATGGTACCTTTATAACCGTGCCATATTTGGAAAACATCCAATATAAGTGATTGTTGGAGAAAAGGGGAGGTTGGATACATATACTGTACTTCTACTCGGGGCCAATCTCTTCAGCTAAAATGGGTCGGAGAGACGAGGAAGGTGCGAGCCCTAGACTCAACTGAAGTTCAACACTGCCTGTTCCTCACCCCACGCAGCGTCTGAGGCATCACAGGTCCTGGAGGGGTTCACTAGAGCCACTCTGCGCCTGTGAAGGAGTAGAAAGCCCTTTCTCCCCTCGTGCAGCTGGTGGTTCTGAACTGCTAACCTTGCAGTGAGCAACTCAGTGCACCAGGGCTCCTATGGTTTGCTACCATAGTTCAAAATTGTCTCCTCATTAATGAGTTTTTAATCCAGGTAAGTGTTCCACTCGCATTTTCTACCCTATGTCCCATCCTTACCCAAGTCCAGAAGGTAGATATGGGAGGCAGTTCTGGCTAGTCAGAAGTATTGCCTTGGTTACCCCTACCATCATGGCTAGATTATCTTAATAATCTAATTTTAAAAAATATATGTGTATGGTATGTATAAGTGCATTTGAATGTTATTGTGGGTATGACTGTGTGTGGGGAACATAAGCCCAAGAATAAATACTTGCTGGAAATCTACTTTGTGGCAGGTCCCATATCAGATTCCTTCATACAATACTATATAGCTTGGGGGTTAGGTAGATTAGGTGGGGATGAGGAGAGAAGGGGGTGGCCATAAGTCTATACAATTTATGCTTTGATTTTGACCCAAAAGTAAAACTATGGGCTATGTTCTTAGAAATTCTTTTCTTTTTTAACAGTTGTATTGACACTTCATCCACATATCATATAATTCAATAGTTCAACCATATCAAGAAGAGTTGTACAGGGGGAGGCAGGGCAAAGGAAGTGGGTGTTAAACCCAGGGACAAGGGAACAATGTGATCTAAAATTGATGGCTGGGAGGGCGTAGAATGCCTGGTAGGGCTTGATCAAGGACAATGTAACCAAGAGGAATTACTGAAACCTGAATGAAGGCCGAACATGATAGTGGGACAAGTAGAAAGTAAAAGGATATAGAGGTAAGAACTAGAAGGCAAATAGGCATTTATAGAGGCCTAAATACAGGCATGTACATATGTAAATATATTTATATATGAGGATGGG